ACTGCAGAGACCAACATGTCTTGGCACAGTCACGTGGCAGATATTGCTAAAAGGGCCTCCCAAAAGCTGGGGGTGCTATTTCGTACAAGACATCTGTACACACCAAGCCAATTGCTGACACTCTACAAAGCCCAGATTCGACCAACTATGGAGTACTGCTCACATATATGGAGTGCAGCCCCAAACATACCTTAATGCTTTTGAATACCGTGCAAAAACGAGCTATCAAGCTGATCAATGACCCCGCACTTACTCGTAACTTGGATGGTCTCGAACATCGCAGATCTGTGGGCGATTTATCTCTCTTCTACAGGTACTATCACGGAAAATGCTCTGAAGAGTTGGCACGTATGATTCCACCGAGAGTAGCGCCTACCAAGCGAACCCGTCAAACAGACGGTAACCATGAATTTACTGTCAAACTAGAGGCACCAAGAACCTCATTATATCAGAATTCATATCTCTGGAGAACAGCATCGCTGTGGAATAAACTCCCTGCGACGGTTTTCCCTGCAGGTTACAACCTGAACCGTTTCAAGACCAACATACACCGACATTTCCGCGCACTTGCCGCTTCTCGAGCGTGATAGGACATTTCCTTGCGAGTGCGCATATCCGTAAAAAAAAAAAAAAAAAGGTTTCCTTAGACCCTAAGGAAGCCTTGAATGTTTAGAATTGAAATGAGCAATTTGTCAAATAGTAGCAAGTGCGTCCATTCTAAACTCTTGACCTTTAAGGAAGACTCAAGGAACGACTATAAGTTTCAGTTTTATATGAGTTTCTTCGTCCAGTTCCCGTCTTCAGTTCTTGCAACGTGGCCTGCGATGCGTTCTACAAAATCGTCCACCCCAGTTCTTATGCGGATCTCATTTTTCCTTACTCGGTCTTTTAAAGTCAATCCAAGCAAGGATCTTTCCATTTGTATCTATGTTTACTCTCAACTTTTCTGCTGATTCTCTGGTGAGATTCAAGGTACTCTGCACCATAGGTCAGGACTGGTAGGACACACTGGTTGAATGCTTTTCGTTTCAGAGATAGGTATTGGAATGTCAGCCATAAACACATTCCTCGTGTTATTATTGCCTATCTGTATTTGGTCAGTGGAAACAAGATTAGTCATCTTTTTGGTTTTGGAGAAGTTCATCTTTAGGCCCACTTCTTGCGTATGGAATTTTGAAGTTTCTGACGCATTTCAGACTGTCTGATATTGGGTCAATATCTAAATACAAAGCAAAGATTATTAAGACTTTCCCCATCGATGATTATTCCTTTCCGCTCCAAGGGCAATTTCTTAGGAGCATTTCTTAAGAACTGTGATGAACAGCTTGGGTATTGGATTCCGCTCTTGATTTTAATTTTTCTGATGGTAAAGTGAAGATTTACGGTGTTCGTTGCGTTTCCGTATTATATTTCTAATAATTTCGCAATATCGGTGATCAACTCTACTTTTTTGTAGTGATCTCAAGATTGCAGGAAGTTTCACTGTGTTGAACGCCTTTTGGAAGTCTGCAAACACCAATAGGTACTAAAGGACGGTATTGCATTCAATACTTTTTTCTATGAGAGTTTTGAGACACTGAAGGTGATTGTTGGTACCGAACCCAGAAACCAGCCTGTTTACGAGCGATATAAAAGTCCAATTTAGCGTCTAGTCGATTTACTATTATGCGAGTACATAATTTGTATAGGTGATTGTGTAGACCTATTGGTCTGTAGTTCTCGAGGTCTGTTCTAAATTTTTTTTATGTAGTAAGATCATAATTGAGTGATTCCAGTTTTCCGTATTGTTATATGACTCTGCAGACAACAGATTTTGAATTTTTCTAATTAGTGTTAGCCCTCCTTTTATAGCTGCTGCGAATAACCATCTTCCCCGGAGGTTTATTATTGCTTGTCTTTTTTAAAGCATTCTGTATTTCATCTATGAAAACATCCGGAATATCTTCCGATCCTTATACAGTGCCCGCGGAAAAGTCTGCACCATATGGGAATTTTTTTTATGCTCATCCTTACTTCAAATCGGTTTTCGGCATTAGGTTCTGCATGACTGAAAACCAAAAAAAATACCTAAAATTTTTGACTCGAGACTTGCCTCAAATGCCATTTGAAAATTTCAAACAAGGAAGCGTGACATTTTTATAAAAAATATGAAAACATTTTATAAGAAAATATTGTTCCAAATGACTTTTAGTAGTAGTTTATAAGCAAACAATTTGAAATTTCAATTTGAGAAATCTTAAATTTTTAAAATAGTCCAGAGGCGTATCAAAATTTTAATAGAAATATTTCTTTTTGATGTTTAAACTCTTAATTAGATTTTAAAGATTTAAAAAACCATTAGCCAGATACAAACTAATTATTTTAGAGGAATGATCGCGAAAGAATTCCTAAAAATATTATTTTTCCATAGATATTCGAAAAAAAAAATAAAAAAATAAAAATCTTTTTTTTTTCGAAGCAAAAATATCAAATTAGACTATAAATGTGATTTGGAACAATATTTTCTTATAAAATTTTTTCATATTTTTTATAAAAATGCCACTTTTTCTTGTTTGAAATTTTCCAATGGCATTTGACAGGTGGGAAGCAAGTCTCGAGTCAAAAATTTTAGGTGTTTTTTTGGTTTTCAGTCATGCTGAACCTAATGCCGAAAACCGATTTGAAGTAAGGATGAGCATAAAAAAAATTCCCATATGGTGCAGACTTTTCCGCGGACACTGTACATAGTTATGGACTTTTCTTTGTAGGTACCTAGTCTGTTTGATTTAATGTCTGTTGATTGTTATATAAAGTTCCGTAGGACTTTTCGACTATTTGAATCAACTTTTCTCTGTTGATTATGGATTCTCCGGTTTCGTCCTCAAGTGTCACCTTCATGCTCTTATTTTCTTCAATGGTCTGTATATGATATGGTCTTTTTTAAACTGCCTTAGATCTTTCTTGGAGATGTCTGTATTGATTGTGTTGATGGTTTGTGGATCAGTGTCTGTATCGCTTTTCAGTTATTTTTTTAATTCCATTTTGCGTCTTGTTTCTTGACTAAGTTTGTACTCTTTTTATTTTGTGGCACAACATTTCTCTTGGGCTTCATTTATTATTTGTTGTTGGTTTCCTATTTAGTGATACTGATGTGACTTTCAAACTCTTTTTCATTTGTCGGATTCGTAGCAATACTTCTCTGTTCTTTCATTTCCAATTAGTCTGTTTTGAAGAAATAATTTGGAATCTCTTTTTTTTCAATTATTAAGCGTCGCCTCTACTACTACTAAGCTTTCAACAATGCTTTCAACCAACATACAAAAATGAAAGTGAGTGAACACATCTCCAAGGATATGATTATGGTTGGACTCTGGAGTGCGTTCGACAACTTGAAGCTGAAGAGTCAAGAGCGCGCACTGGTTATTTGAACAAGAAAATATGATTGTATTAGCTTACACCTACATGTAAAACAATAATTTTAACATCAGCAACAAGGAACCAGGTTGTCGAACGCACCCGAGTATGGTCTTGGATCCTGGCGTGCTGGTTCTGGATGATCTTCATTCCTTCCTCACGCTTCTCACATCGTATTCCATAGAAATAGCAAAAAGTGTGGGAAAAGGAAAACATCTATTTTATCAATATAGAAAAGCCATAGAAAAGAAAAAGTAAATTTTTTAGAAACCATAGAAAAACAAAACATTTTCCTACTCTTGTGTTTAAACCACCCGGAATTAATGAACTAAACAAACACACTGGAACAGTGGCTGCATAATTGTTTCTATGCAAGGGTTTGTGCCAGGAAGGACAACAAACAAGAGGGATTTGCATCTCTTGCTGCACTATGGCGGCTAATGATTGAGAACAGCTGTTTGAAGTGTTTGAATCTTTGAGGTTAGGAAGAAGAAGTTTTTCTTTTACATGAATCGCAATGAGTGCAAGCGAGACAAAAATCCCTCCGTATTGCTGGGTTGCATACATCAAAATTTGCCTCACTAGCATGAAGCAGTGCGTCAGGACTTTCAAGCCAAGTAGGCCCAAGTAGGAATTAATTATCTAATATAAACGAATGCAATGTATAATGTTTCCTTGCAAACTTTTTCTGCATAAATCCGGGTATATACATAGGTACCATCGTCACCAAAAGTCATGTACCTACTATTATAGGATTTTTAGTGTCAAATATTTGTCAAACTATGAATTGAATGTATTGAAATGAATGATGGTAGAATTAGTCCAGGAGATTAATATGAATTATTTTGATGACGATGGTACGTACTCTATATCAGTTTCGTCAAGTCCGACAATTATTTGGCTTAGCAAACGAAGTGCATTTCTAAACAGGTGCAGGGGTAGTGTCTTATGTCGTCATCAACGGATTAGGCGCGACTCACACTATACGTACCTACGAGCACCGTCACGTCACCGTACCGTCAACAACACGTCAAATATTCTCACGCTACCGTCCGGGCTGTCAATATTTCTCGAGGAAAATATTTGACGTGTCGTTGACGCTACGGTATCGTGTCGGTACCGGTACGTATAGTATGAATCGCATCTTAGACTGTATGTAGTTATTTTTTTCGATAAATATACTTGTTTTAAATATAAAGGCCAAAAACCATTTTAACCTATAGGAATAAATAATTACTTATAGATACTGGGTTGATGAAGTAACTGATACTTAGAGCAAGTTTTCCAAAATAGTATGACGCAAAACCCAAAAAGTTTACAAAACATTCGAATTTCCAGACGAAACTATTTCTATAGAAGTAAATAAAAACAACCAAAATTTGTTCAATTCAAATGACTCAGACATACAAGCAAGAAAAAGTTCACCCAAACCACACACTATACTTCCTCTTCAGCTAAACGAGATTCTGGCCGATCCCAAAAAGCCTCGATGGGGGCCCCGTCAGCCCTAAAGCCCGCCTTCCGACCATTGCAATTGGCCATGGTAAGCTCCCGCTCTAGTTCGCGTCATAACCGTCAGAGGGGGATCGATGGCCCTGCTGCGCCCCCTCTATAGAGTCATCGAGTTGCAGTCGATCTTTTACGGTCGTCAAATAACTTGAGGCTCCGGTTACAGATCAAACTTGAGACCCTATTAAGTAACATACACAACATACACCTAACTGTTTACAAACAGTTATTCTACTACAATCTACAATTTTTTTTTTTTTTGGTGCGTCGTGCAAAATATCTACAATTTTTTTCGTCGCGTTTGTGTGTTGAATTGTGACCCAAGTGCTTATGGCTAAGATAGTGACTTAATAATTCCGGACTTAGTGTGAAGGTACCGATAGGTACCACTAAAATGGTGACATTAATGCCTTGCAACTATCTGAACACGCCGAGTTCCCGGTGTACCATGATTGATAAGATGTGTGAGCCCAAGGTAATTAAGCATAGTATGACATACATTTTGTCTAATTGAGGTACTCATTCAGACTGACTGATAGATAGGAAACCATATTCTAGTCTATATCACAATACAAATATATAATCAACTTTCTTCCTTACGCCATTCATTGCTACATACAGAAATATTTAGGTATTCTATATCTTTTGATGATGTATCTGTATGTAGAATACATCTTTTTCATTAGAACTTTTAGTGATAATGGGTATCTATGATCTTAGCATACCTATCTAAAATAAAGCTTCACGGATGAATATTCATCTTCTTCCTCATTAAGAAGGTATTCGTCGCTTAATTTGTCATTATTGAAGCATCTACAAAAATTTTGAATCCTTGGGATTTTTCTTCTTATGCATCTGCATCTACAACAAAAATAAGTATTTATTGTTTCACGATAAGTTTCATCTTCATGGAATCATTGGAATCCAAATAAAATTCAACTACATAATATGTAAGTAAATTCATTGTCTGAGCAAAATAATTGGTTTCATTTTTTTAGTTAGAGATGAACTCTAAAAATGTTGTGGTTTCATATACCTATATTACCAAAGTCTGTATTACAAATATCAGAGAACTGCTTTCCCTTGCAGCTTCCATGTTGCTCTCAATTTGCAATAGAGCGGTCTTCTTCTAGGTCGGTATCCGTCGCTAAATTTATTCATTTCAAGATCATTATTGGATTCTTTAAATACTTCTGTATCTAGAAGGAGAATTATTTATTATGTACTAATGGCATAACAACCTGATGTGAAATCTTTCGTTATGACTAAACTTCCGAATTCATTTACTTCTCCAGATGATGTTTTTTCATGAGACTTTCATATTACATCTTATAGTCTCATCAGTATTTGATTTCTTTTTGGAGTTGCCAGTGTGCTATTTTGTATGCTCGTTTTGCATCAAAATCCATTGAATCTTGCCATAGCGCTACGAATATTTTGAAACACCAAGCTCAAACATCAAGCACATTCTTCATCACATTCAGATCTAGCTATCAGAAAATTTCCTAGTTCATGGTTATTGTTGCTGAATATATCTTAAATTTTCAACGATTTTGATTATACCAATACCATAAACATCATTACCATTAGGTACCAACTTACCTATCTATTTCAATTGGAATGTTTGTATCTTTGGAATATAATATTTCCTTGTATATAACGGCACTATATCATTAATAAGACCGATAGTAGGTACAGCTAGTAAGTTCGAATAGGATATTATTGAATATACTGAGCAGCTACCTAATGATGGTTGTAACACTGATGATACCACTGGTTATTGTTGACTAATTTTCTTCGGGTATTGAGTTTGTATTACTCAACTTCAATTTCTTCATTTGTTTTTTTTTTTCTGATCACGACATAACGAATAGTTTGGGCCAAGTAACATAGATACCCAGGGGTAAACAGCTGATCAAAATGTGTACACTAGAAATCTATAATTTTATTTTCAGATAAATCCACAGAAATCCGCTAAAATACACAAAAATCTGCAGAAATTTACATAAATCCGCAGAAATCCAGAGTCTTCTGTGAAAATCCAAAGAAATCTGTGAAAATCTATAGACTACAAATAGTTATCGCGAGAATTGATTTTTTAAATGTAGATTTCATTAGTTTATACCTACCTATCCTTTATTATTAATGTCTTTTAACTTTAGGTCATTTAGTTGCAACGGACTTCAGACTTTTTCTCATTACCGCCTTTAGGTCAATAAAAATTAATTTTGCTGACACTTTCGATATATCATGTGGTTTAGGCCACAAAAATTCTTTTTCACTCTTGTTTCTTTTGTCTCTAGAACTTAACAACCTATTCATTATCGACAATTTTTGTGATTAAGCCTAAATACCACTGTTGCTTATAATATATTGCATAAAATTTCCTACATTCATGCTGAACAGCATTGTCGATGTTTAAACCTCGAGTTCAGCAGTCGAAGATGTCATATTGGTTGCAGGAAGATTTGATGAAAGACATTTCAATCAATTATTACCTATTTTTCTCACTAGTTTCATCAGAAAAAGATCCATGCTTTCATCGTATTTGACACTCATTTGGTCATTGTCTGAAGTTTCTAAGGTAGAAGTTGATTTTCTGTTTGTCTTCCTGCTACGAATAGATGAGCACAGTCGCTTGTTTGTCATCCTTGTTCTATTTTGTAAAATCTTCTCTTTGGGCTTAATAGAACCATGAATGGTGCTTTTTCTTAGTGTTTTTAGATTTTTCGAGAAAAATCTTCGCAGCCTATCATTACTCACTCTCTGCGTTGCCTCTTCTAATAGCGAACATAATGAAGATTCTTTAATGACGGTCCGGATATTGTTACTCTTACTAGCGGACCTTTTTTAAAAACGGTATCTCTTTCTTCTGGCATCAGCTTTAATGAGAAATCCTCCGAAGGGATATCCTGGTATGGTGATAACGTATCCAAAATTTCACAGTTGTGATCTTCTATATCAGCTAACTCTTGGTCAATATCATTTTCTATAGGAGTTGACTCTGGGGTGGTTGATGGTGCAATAGTAACATCATTCCAACTATCTTCTAGAACTTGTATTCCCAGAGTCTCAGCGAGCTGTAGCGCATCTTGTAATGCTTTTTCCACGCTGGCCTGCTTGAAGTCATCTGATAGATTTTTGAAGTCGGGCAAAACATTTTGCCTTTTCATCGCTTTTTTTCCTTCTCTGGGAAAACTTAAAACTTATTGTAGAGCATTCATAGTATTTTTTATAGTTGCGATTCTGTCCAGTCGACGAATAATATCCCTTATGCTGAAGTTGATCATAGTTGAATATGTCGTAGTCATAGACCTTGTTGCTCTGAGATTCTTTCCGCACGTCTGGTGACGTCTGACTACTAAAAAGGTCAGGAAAGAATATATCATTTGTCAGGTTTGGATTTTCACGGAAATTGGTGCAAATATTGATGAGAGCATGAGCATAGATAACAATTTGAGGTGATAAAGTTGTCACCGATCTTGAGGCACGGCTGATCAGCTAGCCATCTGCGCCAAATCCGCAAAAAAGATATTTACACAAAACCATATTTTGTGAACCGGTCTTGTACATCTAACGCAAGGTCCAAGTAAGATGATAAGGCAAATTGCCTTATCATCTTCACGTCCTGGCTTCCTGGAATATTTTCAAGCAACTGGATTACTGATTCAATTTTTCAATTTCAATTTATTCAATAATAGTTAACAGTTTCATGATTATAATAGTTATTTATGTATCAAGGGAATTATGCAGGTGTTAATACCCCAGGGCAACGTTTGTGTACCGAGGGCCTCCGGCCCGAGGGACACCAATTGCCCGTGGGTATTAACTCCGGATAATTCCCGTGGTACATAGATAATTTTATATCCTACTGAATTTACTGTATTCTGTCTATTTTTATAAAGGAATAAGCCATAAATCAAAATTTCTATTTTTTGTCAAAGTGTTACCTATTCAAGGTAAAAGCGGGAGTTATGGAAATCCTTAACTCCCTTGGGAGTTATGATATCCTTAACTCCCTTCCTTAACTCCCTTGGGAGTTATGAAAATCCTTAACTCCCTTGGGAGTTAAGACCCTGTTTATGATTATCGTAACCAAGGTATTATATGGTTTTAATAGTTCAGTAGGATATAAACATAATAATGTACTTAAAACTATTTAATTATACGAGGCAAAAAAAAACCCCTAGGTGCTGTGGCACCTGTATGGGCTCGATATTATATAAGAATCTCGATAATAATACTAATAATAATATGTTACAGGAGTGAATATCTATTGAAATGAGAAATAATTAACAGACAACCAAAAAAATACAATAAACCGATAACCTATCTAAACTTTAACAGAACACATCTTTTTCGCAGACTTAGAGCACACCTTATTTTCGCCTTTTTTAAATCCAACGCTGTTTACAAACGCTTGAAAAATTTGAAACTAGAGGTGGTCCATATGCGCAGGTTCTGCATTATAGGATCCCATTGTTAAAACCGCTTTAGAATTTAGAAATCTTGTACGTAGTTTTGTTGCGATGTATAATGTACACTATCCTGTACATAGGAGATGTAGGATGCAAAGAGCGGGGATCTAAATACACTACAAGATTATTAAAAACTTACTCGTTTCGCAAATAATAGGGTGGTGATGCAACGATTCCTCCTAAGAAATGCTTTATTCTAATTATTTAACAATACCAACTCTACATCCCAAAACTTAACACTAAACTACTCTAATCAACTCCTACATCCCAAAACTTAGCACCAAACTACTCTAATGCACTAAACTACAAAGGAAAATTCGCAAGAAATTGTGAATCCTAAAATAAGGCGATAAATAGTAAGGTAATTAGTTAAATTCAATATCACCTAGTCACTTTAACAATTGATGGTTTGGACAACAATCTGCTCAAACTGAATTAGCACTTCCCAGATTTAGAAATAGCCCTGAAAGCCGTCGCACTGATGCACTCCACTTAGAATTATTGAGGGTGGGTTCATGCAATACTGGCAGTTCTACTTACGGCAAAGCAGCTACAACTTTCCTGGATCGGACTTTAATAGTAAAGACTGGTATTAGTACCTTTACTTAAATTGCGAGCCACTGGATGGGTCGCCAAGGAACAATGGTATGGGAACCAAACCAAACAAAATCTGTGCAAACATCGCTCAGATACAGAATAATAATGCAATTACTGTTATTCTTTTATAATTAATAATAATGATGAAACCGTTTAAGGCTTGAACTGACGCGTGGGCAAGACCATCACATTCACATTTCGACAATTATTGAGACTCCAAACTGGACTGAAGCCCTTTTTTAATTATTGTACTGACAGATCGCGTGAAGGAAAGATTGGGAACGCTACGCTAAGCGACCAAACTCTGTTCCAGAATAATTGATACTGACTTATATGTTTAGAAGTTTTTTTGTTGTTACCACAGGAACCCTTCCTTCCTTTCACAAGTTCAGGTGACATG